CCCCTGCTCTAACACTGACCCCTGCTCTAGAACTGTCCCCTGCTCTAACACTGGCCCCTGCTCTAACACTGACCCCTGTGCTCTGTTACAGATGAACCGGCCGATCCAGGTGAAGCCTGCGGACAGCGAGAGCCGAGGAGGTAGTAGCTGCCTGCGCCAGCCCCCTTCACGTGAGGGCCCACTTGTCTCTGCCCCCTCGTCCCCTCCCGCCTCCCTCTCCCAACGCAGCAATGCAGCGACTCCCGCCACCTGCCCTGTCTCCCCCTCAGGCAGGGTTTTGGAGCTCTCGGGGGACAGTGAAAGGAAGAGGGGTGACTAGGGTCTGCCGAGTGGTGGGGTTCGGTCCTTTCCATGAGGGAGCAAGCAATGAGGATGTCCGGGACACTCTGCTGCTGCCTGTAGGACATGGAAAACGTGCTCCTCCCACTTTCGTGTCACCAAGGAAACCCCACTGTGATGGGACTTGACCTGTTGAAAGGATGCTGGGCCAGGATGTAGGCAATGGAGGTGGGACACGGGAGGGTTCAGGCCAGAGTGGGCACATCTGAGGAAGGCTCCCGTGAGGTGTTGGGGTGCTTCCTGTGGGGTATAGGATTGTTTCCCGTGGGGTGTTGGGGTGCTTCCTGTGGGGTATAGGACTGTTTCCCGTGGGGTGTTGGGGTGCTTCCCGTGGGGTACAGGACTGTTTCTTGTGGGGTTTTGGGGTGCTTCCTGTGGGGTATAGGATTGTCTCCCGTGGGGTGTTGGGTGCTTCCCGTGGGGTATAGGACTGTTGTGGGGTATAGGATTGTCTCCCATGGGGTGTTGGGTGCTTCCCGTGGGGTATAGGACTGTTTCCCATGGGGAGTTGGGGTGCTGAGGGCAAGATCCTGGAGCTGGATTTAGGGAGGAGGTGTCTGAAAGGGAACAGAGCAGGACACAGCCTCACATAAACCCCAGCCCCATTCTCACAGAGGAAACTGACTTCCACCTGTGAGGCCACCAGGGCACACAGGCTCAACCAGGCCAGACCCTTGGCTTCCTCTACCAAGCACCCATGCCCACACCATGCCAGGTCAGGCCCATCTGCCCCCGGCTTATCCCCATCTGGGCGTGGTCGGGCAGGTAATAAGGGATTTCTCTCTCCCTTCCCTTCCCTCCCCACCCCCAAAATTTTCTAGCACATTAAGAGCAAAAGGTAAAATGGGCAAAAGCTACTTGTAAATTCAGAGCCAAGATCCTTGTCCTGAGGGGACTCAGGGAGGCCACAAAAAGAGCGCCTCCTGCTGGCAGGGAGAGTAAGTGCCACCTGCCGCCCTCTCTGGGGATCCAGGAGCAGTGCAGGTGGAGGCAGTGGCCTGAAGGAGGGAGACACCACACCTGGAGAAGTCAGCCCAGGAGGCAGGCCCCTGAGGTGGAGCAGGGGGTGCCTGTGTGCGGAGCAGACAGCTCAAAGTCCAGCCAGTCTCTCTGGAACCGGAGCCCAGAGCGGGGCGGCAGGCACCTCTCTGCCCAGCAAGGCCGCGCCAAGCTCTAACTCAAACCTTCGCTTGCCTCCGAGGCAATAGCTCTCTGACTCCAAGTTGCTAACCTCATCTCCTTTCTCCCATATATCTCCTGCCGCTGACACTTGCCCCAAACCCGATTAATCAGCTCTTTTATTCTTCCCGCGGTGGAAGGGGGAAAGCAGCGCCAAACCCAAACATCTATCTATTAATTGCATATTCAATATTAAACAGGGAGGTGATCCTGAGTCAGCACTATCACCAAGCTAGTTTTTAAAAAACGAAAGTATATCCATTAAATACTTCTTCTGGGTGGAGGGGCCGGGGGAGAGGTGAGCATTAAAAAAAGATGAAAGGAATGGGAACAGGAGAAGGGTGGGAAGGCAGGGTGGGAGTGGGAGGAGGAATGCTATGGGCAAGGTGAAGGGAAAGGGAGCAGGAGGAGAGAGGCCTGGAAGAAAGTGGAGGAGGCCAGAGAATAGAGAGCTCATGTTGGCCTGGAGCAGGCAGGGAGGGCTTCCTGGAAGAGGAAGGAATTGGACCAAAAGGTGTAGACTTGGCAGGAGACAGTGAGCACAAGTGAAAATGGAGCCCTAAACACAAGACCAAGGGGTTGGACAGGTCTCCATCAGAAGCAGGAGCCACTGATCCTGATGGGGGGACAGGGCAGAGAAGGGGTGCCCCGGCTGTACTGTACTTGGGCAGGAAGAGAGGAGACAGCTCCTGCTACCACCACCTAGAGCCCGGGCTCCAGCTCGGCAGGGAAAGAAAACCAGAGGAGGAGCCTCCCCAGGAGCCACCAGGAGCACCCAGTTAATGTTGCAGAGCTCGAGGGAGCACGTGGTCTTTAAACTCAGATTCACACCCAAGTAGGCAAGCCAGTGTGTTAACCAGGGGAGTGAAGCAGCTGGGGACAGAGAGGGTGCAAGGTGGAGGATGGAGGGCATGCCCTGCCTGGCCTCCTCAGAGGCAAGGGCACTCCCCAGGACGTGCACTGTGGTGTCCTTTGCCTCCCGAAGGCGAACGTACCTCCCCCAAAGCTGGTTCATGGTCAGCGTCTGCACTGGGTCTCCACAGCGGCAGGGGCCCTTCCGCCTTCGGTTTCACTCTGGATGGGTGCACACGGGTGCTGTCCTGCAGGTCTGAGCCCCCATCCTCCCTGGCCAGGTTGTGGGGACTTCTTTCAGGGAATCAGACTCCATTTGGCTGAACTGGAAAAGGCTGGGACTGGGGTGTGTGCCTACCCTTCTCAAGGGTCCACAAAGGTCAGCAGCCAAGTAGAGGAAGGAAGACGTGGTAGAGGCCTGAGCAGGTATAGCAGACACCAACCTGATCTCCCCTTCCCCCACCCCCATCCAGACACATACCCTCAGACCCGTGCTATCTATCTGCCCTGACCCCTAGAAGGCGCCCTCCCCATCAGAAACCAACCCTGTCCTCTTCCCAGTAACCACCTCGCAGGGAGAAGGTTTAGCTACAGTAAGGTGGGCCTCATCTCGGCGAAGTTTGCATAAACACCTTTCACACCCTCACCCTCACCAACATGCTCACACCCACACTGCCAAAGGCAGACACCCAATCTCACACAGCTCCTGGTGAGGTGGGAATACATGTCCTCTTGGGCACACAGTGGCTGGGGGTGGGCGCAGACTGGGGCCACCAGGATTTATCTCATCACCATGAAATGACAGGGAAAAAGCAGCAAGATGGCTAGCTTAGGGGTTGGAGAAGTTAGAAACCAAGATAGCTTAGGAAGGAGTCCTGGGAAGGAGGGGATTCTGGCTTGCCAAGGGGCTGCCCACTTGGAAGGGGGCAGGTGTGGCACTGGAGTGACGCAGTCTTCCAGGTCGGCCACCACGGCCCCCACCCCTTCACAGGACCCAGAACTGAAAGCCACACAGGCACACAACACACTCCAGTCACCCGGGCTGGGACATGTGAGGCAGGAACTGGGGACCTGGGCCCTCCCCACCAGCTCTGGCTCCTCCTGTCTCCCGGCTGGACCTGGGCAGGGCCAGGACACATGGGAGGGTCCAGGCAGGTGCGACAGCCTGGGAGTCAGTCCTTTCCACGTGGGTCCCCAAGACAAGTGCGGCCCAGTCATTCAGCCCAGCAGCGTCCCTGCAGCCTTTCGCTGCTCCCCCATTCATTTAACGGCACCTCCAGGCACCTGCCCCTCACCGTGGCCGGCACTGTGTGGCTGCAGTCCCGCTGGGCTGGCTAATGAGGTTGGACACAGTGCATGGAAACGCCGCTCTGGGCCCCTCCCAAGGCCGCGTTCCCCACCATAAACTGTGGCGGATTCTGTGCTCCCGGCCCCTCCACCATCTGCAGCCCCATTGGTTCCTGCGGCTTTATAAATCCTATTAAGTTCCTCATTTCTCCTCCGAGCATTATTTTATTTTAAAACAGACACAGACAATGCACTGTCAGGGAGGCCTTTGAGGGGCTGCCGGGGGACCAGCTGATGGGCATTGCCCCTCCCGCTCCCCACCCCCCTACCCCTGGCCTGAGACCCTAGGAGCCTTGTGGCCACACTGTTGGCCTCCAGACTCTGGCTCTCTTACTTCTAGACTTTTCTAGCTTTTTAGTCCCATATTCTAGGGAGGCAATTTAGTGGGCGAGCATTTAGATGAAATGGGTGTGTAGGCTGGTCCTGCTTTATAAAAATTCAATATTCAGAAGTTTCCACTTCCCTCTCTTAAGGGGCAACAAATGCCTCATTTCACAAAAGCTTCTGGGTGAACAGGAACCCCCAGGGTCCCGCTAGGAAGCTTTAGTCCCAGGCTGGAGAGAGTGCATTACACATAAAGCTAAAGACCACGGCACATTGAAGATCAATCTGAAAGTATGCCGAGACCGTAGGAATTACGGTTTAAAAAGCAGATTCCTCTAGACGAGATGCATGCAGGGAAGAGGGTGGGGAAGGTGTGGGAAAGCCTTGAAGGACAGGTGTGAACACCCTGTGGGACCCCCGGAGGAGGTGGCCCTGGCAGGCAGGGTGTGGGTGGGCAGAGACTCAGCCCCAAAGAACAGACTCATTTGTCAGCAGCCAGTTATTCCCAGAGCAGGAGTCCAACCACCTCACACTAGTCTCTCCTCTCAGAGACCCCAGAATGAACAGAGGGTCCCATCCGGGGCTGAGAAGGGGTCCAGTGACTGAGGCCCCTAAAGAGGAAGGAGTCTGCCTCTCAGAGCGGAAAATTCCCCACCTTCACCCGCCCCCTCTGTGTCCCCACAGAAGCCCCTGGAAGCTGGGCATGGTGCACACCCCACTGTGGGCCCATGTGAATGTGTATGTTGGAGGGTACATTTCCACTTCATCTCCGATCAGACCTTACAGACCCCAACATCTTCAACTCTTACCAGACAGCAACACCCCTGTCCTCCCTCCCCACAGCTATGTCCGGGCCCAGGGCCTTGGGCAAGAGGTCTTGGCCAACCTTTGACTGGGGCACAGGTAGCTGCCCCTGTGACCAGGACACGGCCCCCCAGCAGCCTGGGAAGGCCCCGGAGCCATCCTGTCCACACACCCCAGGAGTCTACTCTCACCCAGTCCCTCCCGTCTAAAAACAATCCAGAAGGAAAGCCACTCCACAGCCTCTCAGTCTCCTTCTTCAGAGCGCAGGGACCTGCTCCTCAGCCTGTCCTTCTATATTCCCACCGGAATCTCTCAAGCTGTAGGC